CCAACCAAAGAAGAAGAAGAAGAAGAAGAAGAAAACTACCCAGTCTAGTAACGGATATGCAAAACGTGGAGTAGAAAAAAAAAAAGGGATAGAAAGATCAACCAAAATGTGAACAACTGACATACACTGGAATCCTGCCCATGAAATATCATCTGCAGAAGCTTCTCCCAAGGCATTTTCACTACCACCATCCATAGAAAGCATATTGAAGAGATCGGTAGCATAATCAACTTTAGGAGAGATGACAGCATCAGTGACCTGCTTTGAAGGTTCAGCAGGAGTAGACTGCTCTGGTTTCTGAATCACTTGTTGAGGAACAGGAGCAGGAGCAATCTGTTTTCCAGACAAACAAGTCAGCCTCAGTCTAAAGTTTCACCTTTCTGGAGGTATAAAAAATATTAGTATACATTAAACCAAAATTATCGTGTATAGGCAAGTATGTACTACAATATCAACTATCAAACAGATTCGAGAATTCAAAAGATGAATAGAGGATGAACTGTAGTCTCTTCGTCCGCAGCTAAACATAGTTAGCAATATGAAGATCATGAATACTCTGAGCATACTAATAATTTATGCATCTCAAGGTTGCATGCTTGATGAACTGTAGTCTCTTCATCCACAGCTAAACATGGTTAACAGTATGGGGACCGTGAATAATCTGAGTATACTAATAGTTTGTGCATATTAAGGTCGCATGCTTGATGACACTATCCCTTGTTCTCACCAAAGATTTTCATGCTTTAAACCTCTTCTCATGAAGTCCACCTTGACCAAGAAATGTATCGCCTTTTGTGGAACGGAAAACATTAACTCAGATTTTAATAAATTTCTTAAGATTTATGAATTTCATGGATTTAATGGATTTGAACAGAATTCCACATAATTCATAAGATTTTATCAGAATTCTATACTATAGATTTTTACAGATTCTCATGGATTTGAAATATTAAAACCAACTTTTTTTCAGTACAATGTAACTTATTAAATCAAAATGAATATGATGAGTTTTTATGGATTCTAATTATTTTATTATTATTTGGTGTCCAAAATAGAATTTTTGTAGGGTTTGTATAAAGGAGATGCATTGAGTGCATAGTTATGGTGAAAACAAGAGAGTGTTGTGTGGATTAAAATGAGGAAAGAGTTTGTATCTTGAAATGCTTTACATTATAAATTTATTAGTAGTTCACAAATAAAAATCTAATGATTTTATTTTAATGAGTTCGTAAAACATGTATTTGTTGTCCTTTTACTTTGATCACTCTGTGCGCACAAACATGCAAATTGAATATGAATTTACAAAAAAATAAAATAAAATCAACTATGGGCTCAAAACCAACTAAAAAATCTATGAAAATCTGAGGTGTCGGGCTAGAATTCCTAAAAATTTGGTATTTATATATGCGCTCCAAAATCCACTAAAATCTATTAAAATCCTTCCAATTAATGAAAACCTCAGAAAATCCACTAGTTATTGGGGAAATCTAGACTTCTAAAGAATCTAGAACCCAAGTTGGAGACACTCAGATTTTAATGATAGTTGAGGCCACTTAGAATTATATGGATTTTCAAAATCCATTAAAATCCAAGTTTGGGACACCCCCTAAATAACAAAGAGTGATGTAGATTTTTACCAGAAACACAACAAAAAAGCAACAGAGAATTGACAGAAATACAGGGTAAACAAGGGAAAGGGTAACGAGTTATATACAACTTAACATACAGGTTCTGGTCCTTTAGGAGGCATGGGGGGAGTAACTCTTGCAGCAGGAATATTTTCCTTTGCACTAGGTGCTTGAAAGTTCTCATGAGAAGAATTTCCAGAATTGCTAATATACCCGTTACCATCAGTTGGTCTTTGCCACCGACTAGAAGCTTTTTCTTCTTGTCCCCTCACTGGTGACATGGATTTCCCATCCTTCGGAATCCATCTCTTCTCCTCATACCTTAATTAAGATGAGGCATGCCTCGATTCAATTCTGGAGTCGAACATTGTTGAAATAAAGTTGTGTGTACTGTATAGAAGAGTTCATAGGGTAAAAATCTCATACTTAGCACGAATGAAATTCTCAATCCCAACTCTATCATAATTCGGGGGAAGTTCTGCCTCCCAGTAACTGTTTGACTTCTCATTTCCCATTGCTATATAAACAAGAAAATAAATTAATTTACAAAAAATTCTTATCTAATTTACATTTACAGGAAAAAATCATGCTCAAGAAAAATCTTACATTGAATGAATGCAACCTGTTCAGGAAGCCATGTGTCCAGTGTAGCAGATCTCACCTGCAAAAAAGACGCACAAAAAGATCAGTCGAGCCTATTGCAAATGACATTGGTATCAGTAAATTGCATCTATGCGTGGGAGAAGCTGAAATATTGACCAGAAATATCACAATGAAACAGCTATTCATTTAGGAAGCTGAAGATAAGTAATAAAGGATGAAGTTCATAAATTGATTATTAGCTGATGAATGAATGCCCAATTGATTAATATTAGAAAGTGAGATTCATCATGGCCAAGTGTTCAAAGGCTAAATAGTAATGTAGCTTACACAATTCCTTGTGCATGCTATATTTATAGAAGAAAAGCGGATTAGGAGGCACAGTCATATTTTCTATGGAATGCCAACAAGAAATTATAAAAGAAGTTAGATAGAGCTAATTTCCCATAAAAACTACTTCAGTGAACAGTAGTAAGATTGAAAGATATTGACAGAGAACTACATATTTTTCCTAATCATCCTACTCCTTCTCTATTTAATGGTTAATATATACAGTTCCCCGTTAAGTATAACTTGACGTCTACTCTAAAATACTTTTGAATTTAAACATTCGGTACATTCATCAAATATGTCCCAAACACCCTTGAAATCTGGGAATATAAACATTACACATTTCAGAGTATTAAGAAGTCACCATTGGAAACCGAAAGAGACTGAGAAAAGATACATCATATACAATAAATTAACCATGGACATGCGAGCAGCAGATCTAGAACTAATACATATGCTTGGCAGAAATACCTTCAAAGCCAACACAACAATGAATGGTGAAGCAAGTAGGTTGAAGATGTAGATTATGTACTTTTCAGACTTTAAAGCTACCTTTCCACCTTTTTTCTTATAGAAAAATACATCTTAAGATGGACAGAAAACAAAGACAGGAATATCCTATGTGCACATACATGAATAAGACTTATCCTATGTTATTACAAAATGGCTTGTCCTGTACAGATCACCCAAACAAACGTGGTTTGATATTTATTATTTAAAGACCAAAAGCCTTATACGTCCTACCTAATCATGAAAGAATGACTTGGACGAGCGTTTGGAAATCTCGATTCATTCCCTCGGAATTCAATTCTTAACGATGTGAATATGAATCTCCGAACCAATGACAAAATGGATGTATTTCTGAAGGTCCAATACGTTAGGCACTTAATACCAAACAAAATGGATGATTTACCATGTCAAACAAAAATAGTGTTTACCATAAACAATGTCAAGCCGAGTAGACAGGAAAGTACATGTTAATAGCACAGGAAATCATTTTGAAGCACTGAAAATATCAAGGCACTATCTTAGTTTTTATGTTATAATTTAGACCTGTATGCGGATTTTGACTTTGACTAATTGACTGACAAAATTTGTACTTCTGAACGAATTCACCTTTATACATCACTTCCCATATTTATGCATAAATCAGTTTGTCTCTACAAAATGCAAAAAGAAAAAAATGCAAAGAAAACTGAAGTAACAATATATCACCTTTGATATGTGTACTCCAAGACTTCTATGGATCCCAGAGCATGGCATGCATATAAATATGCCTAAGTTCACACTAGCCCATCGAGGACCTCTGCAATTTTAAAAGCAAAGTGTTAAAATTTTAAACAGCCTAAGAAACATAGCTGTCTAACTTTCTAATTAAATAATAAGCTAAGATGCAGAATTTCTAAGTCAGCTTTGCATTCATATATTCTCATTTTTAATGTAAACAATTTGTGAATAATTTAAAATACGTACTTGCTCTTGCAATCCGCACATTCCCTGTTTTCTGGCAATTTAAGAAGACCTTCCAAAATCTGGAAACATAAAGATTATTAACAAATCACATCATAAGAATCACAAAGATTGAGAAACTATGCCAAGAGGCCAATTCCATAGGGAGAAATAAACAACTAAATAGACAATCTAAAAGAATAAAAATGTCAAGTAAAAAAGCAAATAAGGAACCAAGATTTATTAATTAAACATGTAAACAAGTAGCTGTGCAGAAACAGAAATTCACTTTTCGCTTCCTTAGCCTGCTCCTCTCAGGTAATTGTTAATCTTTTCGTTTCAATACTTCAGTGAATCCCCCACCCAAAGTTCTGGTGCAGTGATTCATGATAAGAGTTAACAAAGATTAACATGAATCAAAACAAATACTTGCAGAGGCACATGAAAGTTCTGTAAACAATCAGACTTAAAACAAGGAAATGAAGTGCTGCGGTATATTAATCTTAATTTGACAAGGTCCCTGTAACTCATGTCTACTGCGGTATCTCACTGAACAAATATCATAGGGACTGCTATCTAAATCTCTATGCCTTTGTCAACACACAAGTTATGACACCGGCCTTCATAATTTTATGTTACATCTTATTAGAACCAGTTTGCTTGGAACGTGGCTAAAGCATATAGTCGAAATAGAAATTCTCATTCCAAGACAACCACAAACCATTGGAAATTGTCTTTTACCTTTTTCCATGTTAAGTAGAGATAATAGACTGAACCACAATAAACAGTAAAATAGATACAGTGATCAGTATCAAATATTAATCAAAATAATTGCACGAGATGGCTAACTGGTTACTATATACAGAGCAATTCAGGGTATGCGACAAACAATAAGCAACAAAAGCACAAAAATTTACAGCTATATCGTTCAATTCACAAAATGTCTTGATGTAAATACGCAAACCAAGCTCAAAAACATCTTCTATCCAATGAAATGAATCCAATTACCTAAACCAGGATTAAATACATAGTTTATAACTTAAATGAATCTCAAATTTAGAATTCACGTATAGTCCACTTTAAACAACACTTTAAGACTCCACTTTTATGACATAATCATATCCAATCATCTCGCTAAGATACAAAACAATCCAAAGATATACATACATACATATATAAAATAAACCCCAAATCTGAATAAAAAATTACCTTCATAACAAGAATCACTATAACGAAAAACATCTATCGAGGTCAAAACTTTAAGATCCAGGCAGAAACGATCAAATAATATTAATTGTAGTGACAAAGTTACATCATCCAAAAAGATTAAGGACCTTTTTGTGCTTGGCATTAAGCTCTTTGGAAACGTTCGCCTTCTCATTCATGGTGATTATCCCAGACCGTGCAGTGAAGTGAAAGATGAAAGATAGTATCAGAATCGTGCTCTGATCGCTTTTCTCTCTCCTCTCCCTACACCGTCGACCGTGAAATTGCGTAGAGAACAGGGTCAGGAGAGAAAAGACAAGTCGATCTTCTTGATTGACTATTTTATTTTATTTCGCCTCTTTTCTTTTAATTTTTTCCTTCATTTTTGCTCTTTTTGATTTGTATTTCTGTGTGAACTGAAGTTGTTGGTGGACGGTGCTGTACTTTCACACGTGCCAAGACTTTGGGTAAACGTTTAAAGAAAATGAAGGAAAATCATATCTGTACATCGTTATAACATTCTGATGCCCCTCTTTTGTATTAAGAGCCTACTTCAAAACGAAGCCGATGTATATATAGCAAAACTCAATGTTAAATGGTCTAGGGGTCAAAATGCAATTGGGACTAACAAGCAATTTTATTTAAAAGTTTAAGGGTTAAATTGAAACTTGATCAATAGATTAGAGGTTGATCTTACAATTTTTCCATCTAAAAACTTCTCTTTCATCAAGTTAATTGTCCTGATGGTCATTCAACATATGTTGGTGTCTTTGATTGCTCACTGAAATTTAAGATATTTAGTTTTGACCATTAAACTTATCCAAACATTGGAAATTACTCACTCGCATAACATTCATTACAATCCTTTAACGAAATTGGTGATGACGTGACTAATGGAATGCATACGGTAACGCCTATCACTCAATTAATTAATTGTCAAATTTTCGATTGCTCGTTGAACCTTGAAGTGGATGAATTTTGGCAACTAAAAATTTAAAAGAGTAATTAACACAAGACGTTTCTACCTTTCAAGGTTTTTGTGAAAAATGTCTCTACCTCTCTTTTTTTGGCAATTTTTCCCCCACCATTACCTTTTATTGTGGAAAACGTCCTTCCGTCCACTTACTGTTAAAATATTCCGTTAAAACAAATAAAATGAGATTTTTCTTTTCAAAAAGCCAAGGTAACATTGTCCAACCTATTTTTTCATTGTGGCTTTCTTCTCGCCACCTTCTTTAAATGTTCAAAATTAAAAATAATATGAAAATTAAAGAATTATTTCATTCAATAAATAAGAAAAAATGATGTAAAAGACAGTGTATTTCTGGTTGAAAAGAATTATTGTCGTTGTAATACTTCATTGCTCATAGAATTTTGAAATGGTATATGAAGAGAATGAATATGTGGTTAATAAACTTGGGATGTTCATCCCCATTTTGTGTTTACCGAAGATGTAAATAAGGGGTAAAGTAATAAGACCAATTAAAATGTGATTAAGCGAATGGACAATAAATATGAATGGAGAAGATGAATGGGTCTTCTTTGCATTTTAAAACGAAATTTAACTTATTGTAATAATCCATACTTTTAAATTGTCTTTGCACAAAACATCATTACATTTACATTGTCTTTGCGAAAAATATCCCTACCTTTAAATTGGAGTTGTATAAAACATCCCTATCTTTGTTAAAAATTGTGAAGACGATCCCTACGTATTTTGAGCCAAATTGATCTTCTTTCTTCTAGTCCATTCACAGATCTGATCATTCTCATTAATCGCCACAAATTGACCTTTTTTCTTCTTGTCACTTGATGTAAAGTTTGAATCTTTACAGTTCTTTACAATTTTCTTAGGCTTTGTTAAGTAAAGAAATAATTAGAACCCTATTTTATTTGAATTATAATCTTCTGAATCATTCAAGAAATGCATACCCTCTCTTGTATTACTAGTAGTAGATTTGCTTCTCTTGAAAATAGAATACAATCTTGAAGATCCACGGTGGTGGGCTTGAAGGGTTGTGGCGATGGTGCCACCTCCTTGTTCAAATCTAAATGAAGGAGATGAATGGAAAATGGGTACAGGAAATGAAGAGAATAAATTTCCAAGCTTTTTTTGGAGGCAAAAAGCACATATCCCACCTAGGCTACTGCTGCTCGTGTATGGATGATTTATTACTTGTTACCCTTGCTTTTTGAAAAGAAAAATCTCATTTTATTAGTTTTAACAGAGCATTTTAACAATGAGTGGATGGAATGATGTTGTCACAATAAAATGTAAATGTGAGGATGTGAGGATAAAAATTGCCAAAAAAAGAAAGATAGAGACGTTTTAAAAAAAAAAAAAAAAAACCTTGAAAGGTAAGAACGTTTTGTGCTAATTATTCAATTTAAAATGTCTTTCATTATTCACTACTTTGAAAATGTCTTCGATTACTTAGCACTTGTTTGATCCCCATTATATCTAAAATACCTTTTTCTCTATCTTATTTCTAACTACACATTCTTTAATAAATAATATTACACACAAATTTAAATTTTTTTTTTATTTTTTAACTACATATTCTTCATCAAATCTCCATTCTAAAATACATTTTTGGAGAATAATGAGGTTCAAACAAGCTCTTACTAAATTTTGAAAAACATCTTTGATTGATTTATTTAAGTATTAGGTGATTGAATTTTGTCCAATAAAATTATAAAAATGACGTTGGCCTATTATCATTAAAAATTATGTACCACAAGCTCATGGGTTCAAAGTAATAAAGTGGACAAACAAATTCATATCGTTGAACACGCGATAAAATGAATACTTAATTATATTGTAGTTAAATTTAATTTTAACATATAATCTAATCTAATCTAACTACATATATCTCAGGGGTCCAGGATTTAGTCTAGTGTAAGCTGGGATACCTAAAAAAAAAAAAAAAAAAAAAAAAAAAAAAAAAAAAAAAAAAAAAAAAAAAGAGGAGCGAGTTTTGGTTACAGTTCATAAGCCTAATGGCCATGTTAGTCTAGCATTGACGGAGTGAGCCTTGTGAGCCGAGCTGTAAACAAGTGAATGTGTATAAAAATTAGTTTTCCTTTTGTTTGTCTGTCTAATATCTCTCTTTTTATTCATTTTCCCCCATTTTCCCACGCAATCTCAATCTCTGTCTTCGTTCTTTCATTTCTATTTCATTTTCTCTATAGCTGTTCCTTCTTCCCACCAAAAATCACCGTCTTTTTCCTCTCTCTTCATAAAGTCTTGTTTCGCTTTTTTCGTGTCTCTCTAGATCTAGGAAATCTGTTCTTTTTTCGAGCTAAGCTTCAAATTGTCATGATTCGTGCCTCAGATCTAACTCTAAGTATAAACAAAGAGGAACCCATAAAGGTAAAATTTATGAAAAAGGTGCAAAAAATCCTAAAAAGTCTATATCTACTTGTCCAATCTCTGTATGTTCACAATACGTACAAATTAGTTTATTTTTGTGATTATGTACATTTGAACTATGAAAATTTATTCAGTGAGATGTTCCTTATTTCTTTGATACCAATTTCAGGTCCACCGATGTGAGCGTGCTCGAACCTTTTTTTTATTTTTTTGCTGTAATTTCAGCTCCGTGTATAGGCTTTTGGGTTCTGGGAGTCTTGGGTAAAAAGTCAATTGTTTTTGGTTTTCGGTAGTTCGTGAAATATTGGTTGAGTGATTATTCATGTTGTGATGATAATGGTAAATCAAATGTATAGGTGACAAGTGTGTTTTTGCACATTTATTTAAGTCATAAATATGACTTAATAATGAGCAAAATGATTGAATTGTGACTTAATTTCGTTACCATTGTGAATTGTAGGAAACACCAATGAACATGGTAAAATTCATGAGAAAAGATGTGAAAAATGACTAAAATGACATAAAGTGAAAGTTCAAGGACCAAGGTGCAATTATCCAAAAGTTAACCCGATGAACAAATCAAGGAATTGATTGAACCAAATGTCAATTGATGATGCCTTGGGATGATGGAATGAAAAGAGTAAAGAAAAGAGACCTAGAAGTGAAAGATTCAAGTAAAAGGACTAAATTGAAGAGAATAGAAGTTGGAGTCTACCATACGGTCGCATGGTAGAACTCCCGTGCGGCTGCACGAATGAATGCAGGGAATTTTTATCGAAACATGGAATAACCATGCGGCCGCACGAATTAAAACAATGCGGTCGCATGGTAGTGTTTCCAATACGAAATTTTCTTTCTTTATACGATTAAAACTCGTTTGGCAATCTAATATTGACGGGATATAAATATCAAAAAAGGTCCAGAAACAAGGAGAACGCATTGGGAGGCAGAAAAACACTTCTTGAAGAGGATTTAGAGCGCAAGAACGAAGATTGACTATTAGAATTTCAAGATTTCTTCAAGCTTTTATAATCCGATGATACTTATTACTCAAAACCTGATATATTTTGTTATTTTAATCATGCTAGGCTAGATTTTCATGTGCTAGGAAATCGATGAATCATGTAATTTGAATTTTAATATCCTAATTTTGCAATTTGATATTAAGACACATTTTTATTGTTTTGAATGATTTATATGCAATTAATGTTTCCACAATTAAGGGCTCGTAATTGTGTGATTTGGGTGATTTATTCTTCCATTCGATAGAATTGGAATAGATTTGACATAATATAAATTATCGTAGGGTCCGATAGGGAATAGAAATATATCGCTATGCCCTACGTGAATCTTAAGTGTTCATAAAACCGCATGCATTTTTACATATGCTATTGTTATAGAAATATAGGTCAGTGGTATGTAGAAATAGATTTGATACATCTTGAGAGAGAGTATTGGATAGATTTATGAATATTGATTCGTCACAATTGAAGTGTGTTGTCATATTGTGAAATTAGGGTTTAAAGTAATAATTGCATGGAAAATCGTGATCCTAGTGTGTTTAATTTCTATTGATTATAACAACGTGCGTTCTCAACATTTAGTTTTATTCTAGAGTGTTAAAATATTGTTTTGAGTTTTAAATTAGGGTTTTACTTAAGTTCACATCCACTTTGGCAATCCAGTTTTGGTTAAGGCTACGTTAGATAAAATTTGAACTAATCAATCTCTGTGGGACGATATTCGGACTCACTGAATCCACTTTATTACTTGTTAACAAATCGTACATTTGCGATAGTTTAAAATTGAAAGAAAATAATTTCGTGAACAATAGGGAATATTAATAAGTTAGGATTATGGAGGCATGTCATCACTTTTTTGAAGGGTTTTGGGAACATATTATCAGTGTTGAAGGCATTTGATATCGTTTTGGCCGTTTACCTGCGAAATTAATATTTTTTCCATGTAATATGTTCTATCATCTATCTCTAATGCTTCAAAACAAGCCTCGAAAAAGTTAGGTTTTGACACATTAAATGTCAATGCAGTTGTCCGTATCATGCTATATGCCAAAGTGACAAAGATCATATCTACTGTAGATGTATTTTGTTTCTTATATCGGTATCCAAATGCATCAGTTCTTTTTAGCATAACTAAGGAAGGTTAACATCTGATTCTTCTTTTTAGTGACTGGTACACTAAAAGGATCCGACCAATTGCTAAATTTTATGTTGGATGAAGCAACAAAGTTTCTCAGAGTTAATTAATACATGTTCAATCTTTAATAGCTAGTTAGACTCCGAATTCGATAGAACGTTTTTAGGTAGTATGTTAAACAAGATTATTTCCATTGTTGAAACATGTCTTGGTTTGCCATACGTTAACAAGTTAATTATGCTTGCTCTTTGAACTATTGGCTATTCATTTTAGCAATTTTGAGCTTATTGTATCATTACATTGGATCTTAATTATTTTAGGTGAATTTTGATTCTTATACCTGCAGATTTTGTAAAATTTGCCTCTTTTTAGTAAAGCAGTAAAGAAAGTGTAGAGGAGTGTATTATGTACTTAAATTTTGAATTCTATTTAAAGTTCAGTGCTAGAATATTTTGATGAGTTAAGTCATTTGATTTTATAAAAGCAATAGCTTGATAAGTTAGTTGTTTTTCTTTTTCTTTGTGTGACTTGTAGGTGTCATTTTTCCTCAGATACTGCCAATATGCGCGGCTTGGATATACGAAGCGAATTCCTTTTAATGTTTAGTATGGAAATATTTTGATGAGTTAAATTACTTGATTTTATAAAAGCAATAGCTTGATGAGTTAATTATTTTTTAAATTAATTAATTTTTATTTATTTGAGTTTATGAGACGTCTAGAGATTTTTTTTTTTGAATTTAATGAGTGTGTTCTCTTGTGTGAATTCTAACTAAAGCCAAAAGGCTCAAAACTATAGTGATGAACATAATGTTAATGTACAGTTCTCTGTGTTTTCATCCAATTATTTGGGATTTTGTTACATTAGTAATGTACTTCAAATCCAGATAAATATCTATGACCAACTTGGAAATTGTAAAAAGTCGAGTCATAATTCTTGCTTGTTGAAATTGATAAAACCAGATATTTTGCCTCACTATGGACGTAATATGCTGTGTTTTTCAATTGGAGTTATTTTAGTTTCCTGATTTACATGCCTGTAAATTACTTAATATCACTTGGATCATTCTTTCATTTTGTTTGTTGATTATATCACTGTAAAATAGCCTTAAATAGTTGTCCCCGTTTCCTATAATACTGTGTAACTTTTCTAATTCAGTGCAAGACAATTACCGAAAAAATGAACAAGTATGTTTTAATCACAATGTAGAATCTACAAGTCATGTTAATAAACATTATGAGCATATGTTAAAAATTGTTTAAGTGCCAAATGTCAATATATTATAGTCAGTCACAAATCATGAGGTATTGTTAGAAACTATACTTTTAAAACTCTTATTAACATCTATAATTCATGCTCCCAATTGTTAACTAGGATTTGATTATAGAAAAATGTCGAGGGCTTTCAGGAGGCATTCATTTGGACATGATATATCTATTAGAATGAGTAGTTAAGACATGTCTTAATTTACACAAGTTAGCTCGTGCCTAGTCCAGGACTTTGATACATATGAGTCTGATATTGATAAGTGTATTTTATACACTTATTTGAGGCCTTAAAACTATAATATTTAGTGTTTCTCTGATAAATTATGGTCTAAATTGTTGCAATTGATGTTGAATACGTAAAAGTCAATATTGGTACAAGAAAGTGGAAGAAATAAGAGGAAAACCTAGAAAAGAGCGAAATCCAAAAGTTGGGGACCAAGTTGTAACAATTCAATAGTTGATCCAGACCATGAATCGAAGATTGAAAATGTTTGGAGGTCAAATTGAATATTTTGAAAAGTGAAGGACTTGAATTGAATCAAAGAAGACATGGATTGCAAGAATAAAAGAATTCAAGGATTAAATTGCATTATCTTGAAAGGTTGAGGACTTGAGGGCTAATATTGCAATAAAGCCCTTGAATTGTGATCAAGTATGATGCCAGTGGCCTGTGGAATGTGAGCATATACTTTATATAATCTAATGTAATCTTCGTTCAAAGCAAATTTAGTTTTACACTGAAATTCCACAAAATCAAAATTCAACACTATTACTTACACTACATCGTCTACTGCACGTGTGTTGCACGTGCATTCACTAGTAGTTTTGTAAAACTTTAAGTTATTTTTATCATTAGAAAAATTAAAATGTATTGTATTTCGTTATTAAAATTAAATTAAACTAAAATTAGATTTTGCACTAAAACACAAAGTAAGTTTAATTAAATGGATTGTGTGTTTCATTACAAAAATTCAAATTTCAATTAAATTTATTGTCCGTGATTCGTTGCAAAACCCGCTTAGTTAAATTTATAGTGTATTTTGTTGCAAAATTCAAATTTTATGTTAATTTAATTTAATTTTAATAACGAAACGTACAATAAAATTTGAATTTTTCAAATAATGAAAATAGATTAAAATTCTATAAAAATATGTTCAAATTAAATTTAACTATTGTGCAATTGAGTGATCATTTCTCGTTGTCCACTCTATTACTTTTATCCAATCCGTGCACTTGCGGTACATATTTTTCAATGAACAACATATTGAAGTTATTTTTATAAGTTTAATAGTCAAAATTTGTCCAATTCAAAAATTAGCGAGCGATCAAATATATTTTAAAGTTCATTGAGTAATTGAAGACGATTTTCAAAATTTAATAAGTAATGAAAGACGTTTTAAATTTATAGTGGTCACAATTCAATTACCTCAAGTTTCAATGAGTAATCGAAGACCTTTTTTAAAGTCTAGTGGGCAATCGAAAACGTTTTTCAATGTTTAATGAACAATAAAAAACGTGAAAATTTGTAAATGGTGTGACGGAGTGTCACATATGTATTTCATTAGTCACGTCACTAATTTCATCAAACGATTATGATGGATGTTATGTAAATGAGTAATTTTCAATGTTTGAATAAATTTAATTGTTAAAACTCAATATTTTAAATTTAAGAGGAATTGAAGCATGACATAACTTCGGTGACTATTGGGACCATAGTTATCAAATCCGGCCCGGACCGATCAGTCGGGCCCAAAAACCCGTAATTCAAGCTCTTGATCGGGTCGGGTAGAATATTTTTATAAATATGCAATTAACTCGGTAAAAACCAAGTTGACCGAGTTAACCGGGGATTTTTATATTAACTTGATGGTTGATTGGTTTGATCAAAATTTAAAAGCTTGTCCATAACTTTTTTGTTCTCAAAAGGACTTAAACCTTAAACCTCCATATTAAATGAATACCACCAACCACTAGAGATCAAGTGTTTATTGATATATATTTGCAATAATTATATATATGTAAATTATTTATAGTTTGTTAAAAATATTTTTAAAAAATTATAGTAACTATTTTGATTAACATGAATTGAATATTTAACAAAATAATATATAAATAATTAATAATAGACAATTTTTTTTCCTTTTTGTTTTATCTAAAAATAAAATAAAATTTAAACTTCAAATTTTTTTTTTATAATTATTAAGCATTGGTTTAACCACTAATCTACCAGTTCTACTAGCAACCTGAGATTCGGTGTCTTGATCGGGTCAATGGTCGGGTCGGCTTTAATAAGTATGATTGGGACAATTAACTCGGTCATCCTCGAAAATAAATAGTAACCTCTCTCCTGCGAAGCTGCAATCTTTCCATCCTATCCAATTCTTCTCGTTGAAGCTTATTGCTGTCGGGTAACTTAGTAGACAATTTATTATCAAACATGAAAAGGGCTTTGAATTAATCACTAGGTTTAATTTTCACTGGTTGATCTAAATCTGATGGTGTATTATGAAGCACTTTTATTTCTATTAATTACTTTTTTTTGTGTTGGTTTTTTTTTAATCTTGCTATTGTTTTTCATAATTTGATTAATTTTAAATCACGGTCTGTTGTGTAATTTTTAGACAGCTGAAGCACAAAAATGGATCCCTTTGAGCTAGAGAAGGGCAGCAATGCCCTAAATACTGTGCCCAAACCGGATCTCCCCGGGACTGGGGTTAATAAAAATATGTGGAAGCAGATGGGCAATGAAGAAAAGAAGACTGCTGTCAACGAGGAAATGATAAGATTGAACAGGCTGCCCGCCAACAGCAGTTATGCTTCTCACCGATTGCGGGTCTTGGACAAAATGCTGCAGCTGCTGTCGATTCAGGTATGTGTATATTTTTGTTCAGCTAAAATCTTTGTTTTAAGTGCAATTGAAATTTTGGTGCTTACTAGATTTAAGGGGGCCGGATGGAAAGACCTCTTTCATATGGAGATTTTGGGTATTGAGAATTTGCTTGTATCTGAAATTATTATAAGCCCCGTATTGCCCCATTATTTGGATTTATAATGGGGGAATAGTGTTTTTTTGAAAAATGGATGGTTGTGAAAGAATGAAAAGTTTTCGATTCACGTCTAATATTATTTTATTGAAGATTGTGTGGTTGAAAATAAGATTGAAAAAAATTTAAATTAAATTGATGAGTTTTAATGGGAGCAAACGGGCTACTGTTACATTGATTCATGGTCAGCTCTCTACCATGCAATTGTGTTTCCTTGAACTGTTTCATATCGCGTCAAGTTCTGGTTGGTGGTAAGAATTAGTTTCGGTTTGTTCGAATGAGATCACAGAAAGATGTTAGAATTATTTCCGCAAGTTATTTAGGGAAAGGCATAGAGGGCATTGCGTATGCCACTCCACTAACCGGAAACTCTTTTAAGTCCCTTCTTTCTTCCCCATTGCCACTACCTTTATTAGTTACTCTTTTATCATGTGTTTAGTGAATATTGTTCATTTTATTTTGTATTGACTTTTGACGCGCATGTGATTTGTTGTTTCATTTAGTAAATCCTGGAAAAACCTTAAACTAAACACAATGTTTTATTGACAAATTGGAAAATTTACTAATTTGCACCAACAATAGTGAGAATCTAATATCTGTATTCAGTTACCAGGTGCTCGAGGAGAAAGACCAGGAGAGCTTCTTCTTTTTGAAAATATGACTAGATTAAATTACATATCTGAGCATTCTGAGGGTGGCTGCCTGGACGGGTGAGGGGACCCCGGGCCTTTACACCTCCCTTGTTGTGCCTTCCAGTTGGTCATCCCTAGATTAAACATATTCTTCATAGAAGCTGTCACTTTTAAAGTGAACAAGAATTTATGTTCAGTGCCAGTGTGAACAATTGGCATTCTAAAAACTCTTGATTTTCGTCGGAATATGTGAAGATACTACATTGTTCAGTAAAGCCAACATAATGTTTAACCTTTCCCTTTCCATATTTCTGCAACTAGATCGGACTAGACTCAGTTTCATTTAACCTGTTTTCTTTTACCCTTAGTCAAAAAAAAAATTGGCGTAAGCATACCATTGAGCTCACCCAATGAACTTTAATTTTCGTGTATGGATTGTCTTATGTAGCATGTGGCATGTGAAATTCTGATGTTTACTTTTATTTCAAATTACCAAAGTGTTATTTATTCTTGTTGGTAGAGAACCACATCTCAAGATGAGGAGTTGGAGTTGCTTTTTGCTGGGCTTCATATCTGAGGACATTTTAATATTTGAAGGCAGGTCAGTTTAGTCAAGTTATTTAGTGGTTCAAATTTGTTGCTTCATTTAGAGTTCTTTTCATATTGGGTCATAAATGGCTCAAAGCAGTTAGTGCCTTTGTATAAGGAACTGTCATGTTGAGAAGTACATTCATCCCAATTGGGTACACTCCCTCTCTAAGTTAAATTCAAACAACACTGTGGTTTTTCTTCATCTCCAATGGCTTCACTCGAAATTTTGATGATTTGCTATTTGAAGATAGTCAAGTGTAACTTAGACTGGTACATGATGCAATTTTGAATTATAACTTTGTCACGCAGATTTCAAACTCAAAAGTACGAGCTTTACACAGTGAGTTTCCACAATAAATTAATGATATAATTCAAAAAGGCTACTCCCTTTAGCATGCTGCGCTTTCCCCAAATTGATTTGAAATGATATAGTCAATGTGTAAACACAAATATGTACATATTTTGAAGTACTCAGCTTTTGTTTGCTCAGATCGTGTCCCGATGTGCAATTGAAACAAGAATAAAATATCATGGAGAATTTGTTGGTCTTATTTTGACTACGGATGACTGTAACAAGAACTAGATTTGTAGAAGAAGGGGGAGAAAGAGAGAATAGATAGAGACGTGAGAGAGGAAATATCGTGTATTAAATTTATTAAAAGTCTTAACTATAACAAAGCATTGAACCTCATTATATAGTGTTTTACAAAGTATAATTTAAGCAAGAAACAAAATATGGAATTAAAAAAAAAAAAAAAATCAAAGAAATCTTTTAAAATAAAGTCTAATTTAAAAGCTTGGGAAGTCATCATATAATATCTCTATGAATCTCCATCAATTTCCCTTTTAGTTTTTCAGTTTTGAGATTGACCAACAACACCTGCTTTTATGAATGGGGATATATTTGTTTTCTGCTATTTCTAATATTCAACTCATATTCCTCCTTATATTAGAAGTTAAAGTGGCTTGTGTAGTATGATGTATTCTAGGTGCACTCTTTTGTGGTTGATGGTTTTTGCATTTGCTTCATAGCTGGAGAAATTTTTCGTACTTGACATGGGGTTCATTATTTAGTTGTCATGCAACTGGAAGAACTAAACTTTTATATGAATACGATCTTCTCCTTCATGATTATGATTAATGTTGATACTTGATATCCTAACATCCAACATGATTTTGTCGCAGAAGGTTGAACCATGGAAGAAATTCTTCACTCAAAGAGTGCTGGAACATTACAATGCTCTAGAAGTGACTGTATTTATGGCTTCATGATAAGTACCATGTGAATATTTTGTGTTTCACTCTACTGGAATCTGAAGTTTGGTGTGGTTACTCTTTTTAATGTTCTACTGTGTAGTACCGAAGGGGCATAACTTCATAACATGCACATAAACAAAACTTGTTTTTGGCTTCAGCAAAGTGCATAAAATCAAATATATTATCCCAAAATGGAATCTTACATGAGATCCTAGGAGCACATTTTGAAAAGTTTTAAGAACAGGGAAGTATTGCGCGCCACAAAATTATCCTCAGTGTAATGAGCCCATAGCTTTCTCAACCTGCACATTATATGCACAAGATTAAGAACAGAACGTATATTTTCCCCAACACCTCAAAGAAAGAATACACCGTGCCCCAGTGCTGAACGGTACACCGTAGTCAAAGGGATGTTCCCTTGGGATGAAAAGGGGAAGCTGAAAATCAAGAGCTTAAGACTGTGGCCCATTCTACCTCAGCGCCTGTGATTTTCTTATTTGAGATTTTCTAGAAAATACCCTTCGGCTAAGGTAAAAATTAGGGGTGGATAAAATGTTCACAACAAACCAAACTAAACCAAGCGGTTCGATTCTGTAAAAAAAATTAATAGTTTTGGTTTTTTGAACCAAAAACCATTTGGTTTTGGTTCAGGTTCAGTTCTAGTTCAAAAACCAGAACCAGAACCAAACTTAATATTTAATTTTATATATAATAATTATTGGAGATCCTAATTTTATATTCATTAGAGATAGCCTATTAATAATTGAATACAGTTTATCAAATTGATTTTGGGTCATTACAGATAAACAATTCATTGGTTGTCTACATTCTAATTTTGTATTCAGTTGAATTATTTCTCCTTCATTTCTTTTCAATTTACACAACGTTGTAGCATACTAGTACCGCATTTCACCATGTCAGTGGAGTATCATTTAAAATTGAAAAATGAAATTAGTCAATTACTTAAAAAGTTTCTGAACTCTTTTTTTACCTTGATTGTGTGATGAGTTATTTGTATTCTTCACAAATAGAAGAAAATTCAATAAACATTCATGAAATATTAAACGGCTAATGTTGCCTGTAGAGTGGACTGTAAAAATTTTGGTAATTAATTTTTAATTGTAGGGGTGTGTCTTCAAAATTATTGCAATTAATCTAATAAATCATTGTTATTACTTATTAAACAATTTTTTTTTTTTATAAAAACGAAAACTGATTTGTGTATTCAAATTATGAATATATTTTGGTTGTTAGTAATGACTTTTTTGATCTCGACGATTGACATTTGAACTTTCTAAATATTTGATATTTATTTTCTTATTTAGATATACAATACTAATTTATATGATGTAAATCTAAAAATTTAAGAAATAAAATTAGAACCAAACCAAATCAAACCAAACCAAACCAAACCAAAACAGAACATTTCGATTCAGTTTGGTTTCATATTTTAAAAAAGATAATTTGGTTCCATTATTAAAAAAATCATTGGTTCATAGTTCGTTCGGCTCTCTTGGAATCAGAACCATATGAAACCATGTCCACCCCTAGTAAAAATATATAATTCTTTTATTTGAAATTAAGCAAATTGTATTAAGCCCCCATTTGGTTTAGATAAAAATTGATGGAAATACGATTAAAAAGTTGAGTCCCATAAAATACATGTTCAATGAGTACAAAGTGGTGGAGTGTGTCAAAAAATGTCATTTCCACCATCAATACTGCAGCGAGCTCAACTTCTCTTCAGGGACCTAGAATAAAAAAACTCGTCTAAATATATGCCTTCATTATATGAAAACTGTGGATGCGTACAAATCATTGAGGTGACTAGAACATGAGCACTTCTATGCGGCATTTTGCTGTC